TTTGAGGCCGAGCCTTCTGCCCAGGATTCAGTGTAATACAGCATAATACTGGCTTCTACCGCTGTGCGGTATGTGTGGACACTGGCAAAGCAGGCTGTCGATCTCTGCCCTCAGGGCTTGTGGAAGAACCACGCGGCTCTGCCTGCATGACAACCATCTGCCTCACAACTGCCTACCTACAGTTGTTATTTCTCAAAAAGCATTCATAAGTGCTTGAATTTAATTTGGATGACCTTCCCATTAAAAAAAAAAAAAAAACATGACCTTAAAGAATGGAGTCAGAGCATAAGTACACACTAAAACATAATAAAAATAACACGTTAACTACAGAGAAAATATTAGATCAGGAAAAAATGGAGCTGTAGCATTCTACCTGGCTCAAGGTTGAGTAATAATACCGTCATAGGAATGGTTTCACCAGTCATTTATTTTAACAGAAGTTAGTTATAATTATCAGAGGGGTAGAGTTAAAAACTACAAGGTGGTTTTGCTGTACAAAAGTAACTAAAAGGTAATTCAAATAAGCAGAGAGAAACATAAAGTAACACCTAGGTCTACTATCCCCAAGATACCTGCTGCCAAAACACCCACAGCTTGTGGCTTCAGCTGGTGGCCACTAGGAATAGACAAAATAGCTGTTCAGTATCCCAATCTGCTGTGCAAGTCTTTGTGGCCAGGTGCCCCCAGAGCTCAGCGAGGCCCGAAATGAGGATTTCGGTCAGTGTTCCCAAGAGGAAATAAAGAGGAGAAGGAGGGCGGGCCAAGGGCAGATGTCCAGCGGGTGGGAGGACCAGCCTGATTCTCCCCGGAGAGCTAGAGGTAGCTGCAGCGCTCAGTGACAGAGGAGCTCCAGCCCGTGTCTGGCAGCTGCCAACACAGGTGCCCTGTGTGCGAATGAGCGGCGCGGATGTCTCGGAGCCCTTCTCCAAGCGAAGACCCCAGCGTCTGTGGGAGCTGGGAGTGGCCTTCCTGGGGCAGTGGCTGCCCTGTGCTGGAGCGGGGCCTGGGCGCCTGCACGTCCAGGGCCAACTGTGGAGCCAGGAGCAGCACCACCGCCCGCCTGAGCTCTGGGAAGACCCCGACGCCCGCTGCTCCAGGGGCCCAAGGTGAAGCTGTGCCTCAGGGGGAGTCTGGAGCAGCTCGTGTGTGAAACACTGGGTCAGCGCGGTCGCTCCACGGAGCTGTGTTTGCTTAGTTCCCTGGTGCCCGCAGGGGTCCATCTAAGTCATCCTCCACCACAACACCTAAAATGTACTCTGGAGTTTCACCTGATCTGGCTACTTCAACAAACTGGGACTAGCACGCATGTGTGTGTATATATACGTATGTTCCTGGAAGTGACTGGAAAAGATTCCTTCCGGTAAAATTGTGGGGTCCGTTGTCCATCGCTATAAATCTTTATGAGGCTCCACGTTGTGTCCTGTGTCCATTGCAAATACTTGGAGTTGAGGATTGAAAGAGATAAACGCCAGCAACACAAAAATCTGTGACCACTGTGGTGCTGTTAGGAATACACCTTCACGTACACCGCATTGTCATTGGTGTATATTTTTGCTTCGTTTCTTATTGCTATGCAGCTCCTCAGCGTTACATTTATTTCTAGTCAAGAACAGAAAAGTAGAGAGAAGTCAAGATTTTTTTCAAGCACCGTCTCTTCTTATAGCCTCCCCCAAAATGCTCTTTATTGCCCCTTTTTTTATACTTTTGGGTGCAGAACTAACCATAGTGATGCTCTCATGGGATTATTTATAATCTTGGTAATTTGTAACCTTGGTATGTATGCAAGCCCTTATCTTACTGAACTCTGCCCTTTGTGATTCTGATGAACAGATTTACAACGACAGCTCTTGTTTGGATTACTAATTTCTGAAGAACAAATCTAAGTGATAAATATCATTTTGCTTTATCAGTTTCCTTTTCAGGACTGCTTCTTTCTTTCTTTCTTTCTTTCTTTCTTTCTTTCTTTCTTTCTCTTTTTGTATTTTTGGGAAGGGTCTACAGCGTGATCAGGGTCTCACTACTAGAATGGACTCATAGTGATCTGCTTGTTTACAGCATCCCTAAAGCTGGGATTACAGGGGCTGCAGAGATAGCTCAGTAGAATAAGTGCTTGCCTGGCAAGCACAAGGGCCTAAATTCAATCCCCAGTTCTGAAAAAAAAAAAAAAAAAAAAAAAAAAAAAAAAAAAAAAGCTGGGATTACAGGCGTGGCCCACCACATCCAGTCTCAATTGCTGTCTCAGCGGGCAGCACGGCAGGCCTGGGGATTGAACCCCCAGCTCTTGTGCCTGCTTGCAGGCACTTTAATCCACTGAGCTATTTGGCTGGCCCTGGAATTGCTTTTTTAAATAGAAAAATAAAGCATTAAAACTATCTGTAAGACTTTTAACTAGGAAGTGTTTATTTGGGGCATCAATGTGTTTCAATCAGTAAATGTTGAACTAAAATGCAATACTTTTCCTGAAAAAAATTATTAAGTAATATATGTTATTCTTTACTGGCACCTAAAATAAATATATGCTAGAAGTAAAGTTCCTTGAACATAAATCAAAAACACCGTGACATGTGGACAGAGATGGTGGGGAACGGTAGACGCTTTATATTTCAGCATTGCTAACAGCTTTTTTCTGCCTTTTACACATTGTCCCCAGTTTTCCTACTTTTATTATTGATGTATGTTTTGTCTTAGGAGTGTGACACATGGCCCGAGGCACCTTGGTCCTGGGCAGGATGTAGACTAGCCAGCAGAACACTTCCTTCTCTACGGATCTCCCCACCTCTCTTAGGTACCTGCAGCTGGTATTTGCATTTCTCATTTGGAATTTCAGTGTTCTCCTTAAAAATAGCAAAAAATTAAACAGCCTTCCTACATGGAGAGATAATTCATTTGAAATGAGGGATGGTGGAAGCTAAGGGAATCTTAGGGTCCTCTGGTGGGAATCCTAGAACTCGCAGCACTTTAGGAGTATGCCGGCATGCTCACCCCACCATTGTTCACCTGAGAGAGCCTTGCAGGTAGGGAGTTGCACAGCCCAGAGCATCCCAGAACCCACACGTGGCTCGGGAGCCACCCTCAAAGCTTGTTCACTACAGTACCTCCTGGAAGGGTCCTGTCCTGGCCCGCTTGTGACAATGATCTGCACTTGTGGGCCTAGTCCGCTTCCTGATGGGCACAGGAAGGAAAGCCAGAAGGACACAGCTGATGGCTTTCCGTATTCTTGATGGTCATCCTGGCCAAATGCAGAAGCCCACCTTGGCTTGGAGCCACGGCCTATGCAAGAGGCATGAAGCCTTTTCCTTCAGGAGACTGCGGGCTCCGCCTTGGGGAAGCAGCTACATGGTGATGTTGTACCCTGTTAAAACTGACTCCATTTTGTTGCCCTTCTAACCTCACCAAGTTCCTCCTCTGTATGTGCCGACCCTCCCAATTCCTCCTCTAATTCCTCCAACTCCTCACCCCTGTTACTCAAGTCTTATGATATCTGCTCCCCAAACCTTATCTCAATGAACTATACATGACTGCCAATTCAGCACCTCCACCCAACAGAACCACCCCATAAACTAATGACTCGCTGTACCCCATGTTGCTGATTCCAGCACCCCACTCAGTAAGGACCACCTAATGAACTAGTGACCCTGCCACTTCTTCCTCTCCACCCCTTCCTTGCCTCGTTGTCATCTGATTTTTGAGCTACAACATTTGGGGGCTCGTCCGGGATCCCTAAAGACCTCTTCTTTTTGATGCGGTAAGTAAATTTCAACCTAAATTTTGTTATACCAGCTTAAACTCAGATGTGAATTAATGGTTTTGATTTAGCTTTACTGATTTTAAAGAACTACGGCTGCTGTGTTAACCTCTCCTTTCACTTTCTCTCTTTGCTTTCTTCTGAGTACTCAAATATATAAGATCTCAAATGTATAAAAACTCAAATGTAAGATCTCAAAAATATAAGATTTCAAATGTATAAAATCTCAAATGTGTAAGGTAAGAATGAATAAGATCTAAGGTTCTTGGTTGTGTTGTTGACTCGCAGACTCCAGTCTCTGAGTCCTTGGAGTGGGACGCCCTCTAAGTCAGATTTTGGGAGATCTCAATTGTAGGGAAGTGAATGGACCTAGATGTCTCTTTCGCCACAGAGCTCTGTTTTCAGTGAGGCAAATGGACCTAGGTGTCCCTTTTGCCAATTAGTTGCCTTTAGAGATTATGGACTTTGGTCATATGTAGAGGTTTCTGTGACCTCCGGGATCTCTTTAGGTGAGGTTCTTTTGCCTCTACCCCCTCCCCCTACATATTCTAACTGTAGGGAGCTAGCCGCATGTGTGCGACCTCTTTCTTTATCTCTCTTTGAGATTTATGCCTTCCCTACTCCTACAGGTTCTAACTGTAGGGGGCTAGCAACATCTGCTCGACCCTCTCTCTCTAATGCAGGCTAGTTTCTCTTGTATAAAGGTTTCCTTGATACCCCTACCCTTACCAAGTTCTCCTGCATAGGGGGCATACACATTCCTCTCATACAAGTTTTATTTAGGCCCATTAGACTAGTCTGCCTCTTATGTAAAGTGAATTATTTCCACCTTTACCAAGTCCCCCAATAGATTTAATCTAATTAGGGGCATACACTTTCATACAGGATTTATTTGGGCCAAATTGGAACCATCTGGGTAACTGTAATTGTGCTGTCTGTCTGTTGTCTGTCTGTCTGTACTAACTAGTTTGTTTTTCTTTGATTTTGATTGGTCTATTTATGTTTATCTGTTTTTCTTAGAACCTGTCAGCCAGATAAATTCATTATTAAAATATTGGTCAAAATGTTGATAAATTTAAGCTAAGACATAACATTGTTATAAGGTCATGATATTTCTTTAATGGGACATTTTATGACTGTTTTATATTTGTATATGTTATATTTGAACTGATTATTAAATTTTAGACAAAAGCACTAGAAGGTAAAATTACTAAGATTCTTATTGGATTTTATGTAAACTTCTGTAAAATAAAACTTTAGCTAGCTTAAACTTAGAAAACCTACATGCCTACATAAAAAGGGACTCCTTTTGCCAGTTAAATGACATTAGGTCGGCAACCGTTCTTAAAGACTTGGAGGACAGGTTTCACTGGGATAGACTGGTTCGGATCCCCTCTACACGCTAGAAGGAATGTCGGGCCTGATCTGTTTCAGTTTCCTTTCTTTGACTTTGTTCCTGATTTTCTTATCTCTTTGCACTTTCTTTTTTAAAGGCATGTAAAAGTTAAGAACTCTGACTGTTCCAGCTAAGTAAAGCCCTTAGAAAATGAGCGTTTGTCAACGCTGAAGACAGGAAAGCCATTCTAGAAAGGACACATACCCCGTCTCTGGGTCAGATGAGACAAAGAGATTATGCCCGTCCAGGAGAACACACATAAAAGCCATGTCCTGGCTTAGTGTTCTGGGCACGTCTCCTTTGGGAGGCTAAACCTGAGACACAGTGGAGAGAACCGACTTCTGGGTGACACCAGAAGGAGCTATCTCCAAAAGCAGCACAGTTATGGGACTAAAACATTTAAGTATAAGAAAATTCGACCTTTATCACCTAAGCTTCATTTAATGGGATAAAAAGTAAATTAAAACATAAGGCTTTTATTATAAAATGCTTAAATAATCTTATTCAGGCTTTAAGATATTTCCTATAAAATTTGGATAAACAGTGTGTATGCCTATGCTTTGTCTGGTCTCTTAATTCAACCTTTTGGATTGACAGATTTTCAGACTCTCAACCGCCGCCACGTCATAAGTGAGTTTCCCTGTCTTCTGTCGTTTTCATTCGCAGTCCTTGTTGGATCTTGTCACGTGTTTGGTCCTGTGAAGATGGGACAATCTGCTTCGTCATCCTCCCCCTTGTCTCTTATCCTGAATCATTTTTCCACCTTCCAAGATCAAGCAAAGGGATATGGAGCCTCAGTTTACCCAGGAAAACTCCACACTCTTTGTGAATTAGAATGGCCGATCTCATCGGGGGGCTTCTGGCCCTCCGAGGGATCTTTTGACCTCCCTTTGGTCCAGGCTGTTCAACGGGTCATTTTAGGCAAGCCCGGACACCCGGACCAGGTCATCTACATTCAGGTCTGGATTGATTGGATTTATGATCCCCCATCGTGGCTCAGGAAGTCCCTTCAGAAGCCCTCTGTCCTTGCTCCCTTAAAACCTTCTCATTCCCCCCAAAAGCCCCAAGTCCTAGAATCCCCACCTCAGGATGACCTTCCTCCTCCCTATAGGACCCCCCCTCCTCCTCAGGCCCCACCCCAACCCCCTTCACCTCCTCTTCCACATCAGGCTCCTTCTCTTCCACCTCCCTCCCAGCCCCAAACTATCTCGGCACCTCCTAGTCCACGCCGCACCCGGAGCCGCCGGCCCCCATGGCCGGATTCATCCACTCCCTCTCCTCACCCTCTTCCCTTATACCCTCTCCGTGAAACCTTTTGGGGGCCAGCTCAAGCCCCCACAATGATGTATGTACCCTTTACCACTTCTGATTTATATAACTGGAAAAATCAGAACCCACCCTTTTCTAAAGACCCACAAGGCCTCATTAGCCTTTTGGAACATATCTGTTATACCCATCGCCCCACCTGGGACGATTGTCAACAACTCATTCAGACCCTTTTTACTGCAGAAGAAAGAGACTGCATCCCCGGAGCAGCCCGTTGGGCTGTCATGGGCCCAGACGGAAATCCCACCCCTGATCCTGACCGCCAAGAAGCCATCTTCCCCTTGCAGTGCCCAGACTGGGATCCAAATACTGATAGAGGTAAGGAGGCTCTCAACAGGTATCACCAGCTTCTTCTGGGAGCCCTTAAAGCAGCAGCCTGGAAGCCCACCAACCTATCCAAGGTATCAGAGATAAGACAATTGGCTACTGAGTCCCCTGCTGCTTATTTGGAAAGACTCCTAGAAGCCTAGCTTATCTATACTCCAATAGATCCGGAGGCACCTGAAAATGCACGAGTCATAAATGTTGTGTTCGTGACACAGTCAGCCCCTGACATGAAATGAAAATTGCAGAAAATAGAGGGTTTTGAGGGAGCACCCCTTAGTCAGCTCAAGGAGATAGCTCAGAACGTTTTTGATCAGCGTGAATCTAAGGAAGATAAAAACGAAAAGAGACTTACTAAGATTCTTGAATGTCTGGTCACCGGGAACGGGCCAACCAATAAAAGGGAAAAACGACTTCCTCTTGAAAAAGATCAATGTACTTATTGTAAGGAAAAGGGACACTGGGCCAAGGACTGTCCTAAATTAAAGACTAAACTGGAAAAAGATGCAAAAGCCCTCCTTAATCAACAATAGGGAAGTCAGGGCTCACGAGCCCCCCCTGAGGCCAGGCTAACTTTAACCACTGGGGGGCAACCCATAGACTTTCTGTTAGACTCTGGAGAAACTCACTCCGTTTTGACTCAGCCAATTAGAACTCCCACAGGAACTTCAATAAAGGTCATAGGGGCCACTGGACAAACTAAAATAGTAAAACAGCTTAGGGCGTTGCTGGGGCAACCTGGACAGCCCCTGATGAGCCACACCTTTCTTTGGGCGCCTGACTGTCCAGACCCACTCCTGGGTAGAGATCTTCTACATAAATTAAGAGCACAATTAAGTTTTGAGACCGAAATGCCTACTGTAACTATTGAGAATCCAATCATTAAGGTGATGGCCCAGTTCCCAGTAGGAGAAAGCCACATCTTATTTCAAGAAGTTTTAGGACCTGAGGAACAGAGATTTGATTTGACAGAAAGAGATAAATTGTTATACATTTGGATTCAACAAATCCCAGAAGCATGGGCAGAACATAACCCCCCTGGGTTGGCCAAAAATCAAGCTCCCTTGGTGATAGAGTTAATTCCAGATGCCACCCCGATTAAGTTGAAACAATACCCAGTTAGCCTGGCAGCATGCAAGGGAATCGCCACCCACATCTTGCGATTCAAACAACAGGGCATTTTAAAATCATGCATTTCTCCTTGGAATACCCCCTTGCTTCCAGTACAAAAACCAGGAACCCAGGATTACAGCCTGGTCCAGGACTTACGAGAGGTAAACAAAAGGGTGGTCACCTTACATCCAGTGGTGCCCAATCCCTACACCCTCCTGAGCCTTCTGCCGCCTCATCACATCTGGTACACGGTATTGGACTTAAAAGATGCCTTCTTCACCTTACCAATCGCCCCAGGGAGTCAACCCTTATTTGCCTTTGAATGGACAGACCCCTTTTCGGGAGTCTCAGAACAACTGACTTGGACTCGACTCCCCCAGGGTTTCAAAAATGCCCCCACACTTTGATGAGGCTTTGTCCCGAGACCTCCTGCCCTTTCGGGAGGATCATCCAGGACTGACGTTGCTCCAATACGTTGATGACCTTCTGTTGGCTACGGAGAAATGTGAGTCCTGTGTCTCGGGCACCCAAGCCTTACTAAAAACTCTCTCAGGTCTTGGATACCGGGTTTCAGCCAAAAAGGCCCAACTGTGCCGTAAACAGGTTACTTACTTAGGTTATCAGATTCACGAGGGAAAACGCACCCTCTCACCATCTCGGGTTCGTGCTATTCTGCACATTCCCACCCCTGCCAACAAGCGGCAGGTGCGATAATTTTTAGGGGTTGTGGGATATTGCTGCCTTTGGATCATTCATTTTACAGAGCTGGCACAACCTTATATGAGACTTTGGCTGGAACTACTCAAGACCCCCTTGAGTGGGGACCAAAACAAGACACTGCCTTTACTAACCTTAAAAATGCTCTGATTGAGGCGCCTGCCTTAGCATTGCTGGACTACAAAAGCCATTTACCCTGTTTGTAGATGAAAAGAGGGGCATTGCAAAAGGGGTCCTCACCCAGAAATTAGGCCTTGGGATCGGCCCATCGCCTATTTGTCCAAGAGACTGGACCCCGTGGCTTCTGGATGGCCTGCATGCCTTCGAATGATCGCTGCTGTGGCCCTACTAGTACAGGATGGAAAAAAGTTAACTTTTGGACAGCTCATTAGAGTGGTCTCGCCTCATGCATTAGAGACCTTAATAAAAACACCTCGTGATAAGTGGATAACCAGTGCCCATATCATCCACTACCAAGAGCTTCTGTTGGACCCTACCTCAGTCCAATTTAAAGAAGCTACCACTCTAAATCCAGCAACTTTTCTGCCGGATGATGACCCCACCCTGCCACTCCACGACTGCCTCTCCACCATCGAAAAGATCACGGGGCTTCGAGAAGACCTGACTGACATCCCCTTGCTTGATGCTGAACTGGTCCTCTTCACAGATGGAAGTAGTTACATTCATGAAGATAAGCGGGTGGCAGGGGTGGCTGTAGTCACTCAAGACCAAGAGTTATGTTCCCAACAATTGGACTCTGGAACTTCTGCACAAAAGGCTGAATTAATAACCTTAACCCAGGCATTGCGTCTGGGTCAAGACAAAAAGATCAATATCTATACGGACAGTAGATATGCATTTGCCACTCTTCATGTACATGGGATGATTTATCAAGAAAGAGGTATACTGACTTCTACTGAACAAAAGACTAAAAATGCAGCCCAAATTCTAGACCTACTGGCTGCCATTTGGCTTCCACTAAAGGTATCTGTTATGCATTGCAAGGCACATACCACAGGCTCAGACCCAATAACTAAAGGAAATCAACTCGCAGATCAAACAGCCTGAGAGGCTGCCTTAAAATCAGTGGGGACAGAAGAAAACAAAGCCCTACTCCTCGTGCCTCCCACCATCTCTGACCCTGTGTACACTTCAAGTGATCTTCACCTGGCAGCCCAGTTAAATGCTAAACCAAGAGATTCAGACAAGTGGTATCAGTTACCTGATGGAAAAATCCTTATACCAGAGGCTTTGGGCAGAGAACTGATCCAACAAGCCCATCAGGCTACCCATCTTGTGGGCTTGAAGCTAGCTAGCCTGTTCCGTAATCGATTTTTCATCCCAAAGTTGACCAAACTGGCACATTTGTCTAGCCTACGCTATGAACAATGCCTCAAGGTAAACCCAAAACACAACAAGCTGGTGAGTACCCTCTGTTATTGGGGAACCACCTCAGGGGAACATTGGGAAATTGACTTTACAGAATTAAACAAGCCAG